AAAAAATTCACTCATTCATATGTTGACGTAGGAAAAATAAAACTAATGTTCTAGAATTCTTGATTATAAAATGAAATGAATTTTAGGCCGTGGAAACGAGTACTTCAAAAGAAAAACAAAGCCTGTTGTCTTTCAATGTATGACAGATGCTATTTTCACATAAGCATGATTAGATCTAATTTTTTTCCTCTTACATCAATACCGAACATGCGTGCGTGTTATTTGCTAAAAACATAACATTAAAATGTCATAAAAATGCAAAGTGAATATAAAGATATGAAACTGTTTTATCTCTCTTAGTCAAGCTAAAGAAACTAGCCTGAGGGAAAGAACAATATATTTTTATTACTGAACTTGTTCGAAAAACAATTTGTCATCATAGAAAAACATCTAAAATGAATGACAATGTGATGAAGAAACAGAAAGTAAGAGAAATAAATGTTTTTTTAATGATCTTATTATCGTTTGTATTTTTTCGAACATAAACAGATTGTTATGAACAGACAGAAGCATTTGTTTTCGCTCTCTCTATTTCCTCTAAATGATAACATGTGACTCTACCGTCTAGAGGTTGAACAATATCAGTATGTGCTTTCATTACTCTCTCAGCAACAAAATTTAATTATCTCGAAGAAGTAATACCAACCTTTCTATAATTATTTTTCATAACAGAAGTTAATTTTCAACTTTTAAATATTGTGTATAACAATAATTGAGACTTGTGGACAGATTTATAGCGTTAAATAAACAATCGAAAAAATGAGATTGTAGTCGAATGGTTTTCTCCTATCAGTTTTATTTGAATCTTTCTGTTTTCGTAGAACGTTCCCAAGTACCAGTATCAGCTCTTGTGTGTGTACGTCCTCCATCAATCCGTTTGAATGATCGTCATTCTCAGTATCTTCATGTATGTGATCAGTACCAACAAATAATTATTGAAAATAATAATAATAATCCAAAAGAAGAAATGATCAAAAATAGTCGAAACATGCTATCAAATGATTTGAATGAAGATGAAAATTGTCAAATTTGTGGAGATTTAGCATCTGGATGGCATTGTGGGTTAGTTAATTATATTAATTTAGTTCATTTTTATTTTTAATTATTTATTATGTCATTTAGAGCAATAACATGTGAAGCATGCAAAGTAAAACAAATTTGAATAAAATGTTTTCTTTTTGTTTGTAATATAAATAAAAATAACAATTTAGAAATTTTTTTTACGTTCAATTTCAACATGTGATGGAAAGAAAAAATATAAATGTCAAAGAGATTCAAGATGTTCAATAACAAAGCGTTCTAGAACTCAATGTCAATATTGTAGATTTCAAAAATGTATTACTATTGGAATGAAAGCTCATAGTAAATTTTCTTATGTTATTCTTATTTTATTTTTGTCCTAAAAAAATAATTGAAGAATTGATAGGATCAAAGACAGAAGACTTATATAAAAAATTACCGTGTGTTATTTGTAATGCATCTGCATCAGGTCTTCATTTTGGTGCTGTTACATGTGAAGCTTGTAAAGTAAGACAAGAGAAGAATATTTGAAGAGAATTTGTTTCTTATAAAATAAATTGTAAAGGGTTTTTTTCGTCGATCAATAAAAGAAAATGCAACTGAACGATATCATTGTGCGGAAAATAATAATTGCGAAATAGTTTCAACATCAAAAATAATTTGTAGAGCATGTAGATTTCGAAAATGTATTGAAGCTGGAATGTCTATGAATGGTATGTCATATTTCTTTTTCTATTTAAAATGAAAGAATTCGAAATTAATTTTAGCTTCTCGAATTGGTCGACAATCAAATCTTTTTAAAGAAAGGTAAATCAAAAAACAACCAATAATAATAAATTTTGAAGTTTAATAAAATAGTATTCGACAATTACAAAGTAATTCAACAACCATGGCTACTGTGACAGATTCAGCTCGTATTGCATCGATGGCTAAAAAAAGAAAGACTAAAACTAAAATTGAAAAAAGTAAAAAAAAACAATTTTACAGAACGAAATAGGAAAAATATTTAATTTCAGTATTTGCATCAAACAATGAAATCGATATTGAACTTTCACCAACAATAAAAGAATTTATTGAAAGAGTTTATAATGCATATATAATCTATTTAAAGGTACTTTTTTTTAACCATCATTATTCTTTTGTTATCGAAAAAGCAGAGATAATTCGATTGTCTTTCATAGAATCGTTTTATTTTTGCTTTATTTTTATCCGCAGGATTTACCTCGATGCAGTCCACGTGACACAGTTTGGTCGACAATGGCATCACAAATGATTATTTATGCTCAAGCACTTATGAATTTTTGTCAAAAAACAATACCGGGTAACATACATCATCCTCATCATTTATTGGTTTGCTTCACTTTCTTGTTTTATTTTACCTGATTGATGATGTTGTTCTCTATCTATTTTTTTAATGATCTATTCCCTTTCACGACATATACGGTGAAAGTGAACAGATTTCTCTTTTAAGTTTTTTTCTTTTTTTATTTATTTTTAATTAACATTTATTTCGATAGGCTTTACAAATATGTCTCAGAAGTTTGAAATCATATCATCATCTATTAATTCTGTTATTATGGTAACATTATTACCGGAAAAAACATTAATAAAAACTTCCTTTGAAAATATTCAATCAACATGGAATTATTGGCAAGCCGAATCAACACTATCAATGGAATTAAATGCACATGTTCCACAATTAACACAAGCAGAAAATTTATTTCGGTCATTTGAATCGACATTACGAGATCTTCACTTAGATGAAAAAGAATTTGCTCTTCTTTTATTAATGATTATTACTCGACATAGTAAGTTTTCATTAGACAGACAAAAACAAAAAGTTGTACTTTTTCAATTACAAGACTTAACTTTAATTAATGAAGATAATAAATTATGGTCAAAATGTCAATATGAATGTGTTCAAGCATTTTCTGAATATACTCAAGGTAAACCTAATCATCTTTTTTTGTTATTGATTTTGAAAATCATTGATATTTTAGCTCGTCGATTGAATATCAATGGAGAACTCTCAATTGAATTTTATGATATTGTTTTTTTGGTTTCTCAACTTCGTTCATTTAACCGTAGTATAACTCAATGTTTTATGAATCTTCCATGGCCATATGTACGAAATTTACCTTCATTTTTTTATCGTATTTTTTTACCAACTATTACAAATATTTCATCAATATTAAATAGTAATTACGATCCATTATCATTGTCGCCCGTGAAGTCATCATTAAATAGTATTAATCGTCATGATATCGAGTTATTTAGTGATTCTTTAAATAGTAATTCAATTGATATTAATATGTGTTATGATCTGTATTGGAAACACTAGGCTGGTATAGTCTGGATGTGTATTTTTGTTTTTTCTTTGGTTTCTTCTCTTGTTTCCTCTGACGTCCAACCATTTTCATACGTATATAGAAACACGTGTCTCGTTTTGCTAATCTTCTTCGTATGGCCTCACACACACTATGCATATTAAAAATGAATTAAGAGACATGACTGATGTGAAGTTTAAAACATATTTAATTCATCTTTTCAATATGATTTTTATTTTTAATATCTCTAGCTAATCGTAGATCGAGGAGCAGAACAAAAACAATGAAAGATGTTAATAAATAGATAAAGAAATAAGAATGAGGTCGCTAGAATGGCTCGTTATCTTGAAATAAAATACTATTTCACTGCCCCATATTATATTGTATTCCTATATTTTTATGACACTATAGCGGCTCTACTCAATACTAGTTAGTGGATTAACTATTATAGTGCAGAAGGATATTGATTTACAACAGACATGAAACTTTTTTCATTTCTCTAGTGTGTTGGAGGCCTATGAGTCTGTGTATGTATGTGTAGTTAGTTGTTGTATGTTTACTCATGAAAGAAAGAAATAAAAATTTTGAGGCAAAACTTTAACAACATGTAAACAAACAATTTCGAAATAACAAGAGATGCTTCATCGAATAATGAAGCAAAAGTTTGGTTGTCATCAATTATTGGATCTTCGTCAAAATTTTGTGATAATATTGTTGATTTTTTTGAGTGATGAGTTGAAATATTTATTTAGGCATCATCTGTCGTTTTGGATATGATGATAGATAGTCGTTTGTATTCATCTTTTCCCGCTTTAATATTAAATAGGTTCGTAAATCAAATGACGGAGCCAGAGAGTGGTCAGCCATTTCTAAAAACCTTTAAGTTTCTTATAAAGATGAGACAATCTAATATTATTGATGAAGAAAATATTTCCTTTTTCAGTCTCAAACGGGAACTAACGCTCAGCAACAAGTATTTTTAGCTCGGTCAGTACTCGAACAATTGGTATTATATCAGTTGATTTAATTGTTTCAATTCGTTGGTAATACGTCGGATTCATAACTACTGTGATTATTATTTTATATAATGGTTTTGAAGTGTTGTTTTATGTTTCTGGAGAACTTATTTGTTAGAGAAAAACAAGGATTTCTCGGTACTTTTTATGTATTCATATTTTATTTCTTGTCGTTCAAATGATATTGAAAAGAATTTGCATTTTGTTATTCACTCGTAAGAATCATCTTTGCAATATTTATTTATTTATTTATTATTTTTTTCTGTAATTGCCTTAATATCTTGATAGAATGCTATAGGTGTATGAAATTCAATTGTATTTTATTTTTAGCATCTGTTTCAATCATTTGGCTGAGTGAGAAAAGAACCAGAAATATGAAGATGTATAGGTATTGACAAAGTATGGTTGTTAACATTCCTTTTTTGTTTCTATTCTTCGTTCTCCACGTGCTGAAAGGCTTCTGCGTCTCCACATCAAGAAGTACAATCGATAAGAATAGATAAGCATAGATATTATATAAAAAAACAAAGAGAGAACATTTCGAAGGGTAAGACTATTCCACACAGATTTTAAGCAACGCAAAACCATTTGTCGTCGTAAATCTAAGCTTTTTTTTGGATTGAAAGTGAATTTGTAGATGTCCGAAACACATATTGATCGTTCTTATTATTCACCGCTATCCAATGAAATTGCATCATGGCAACGTGATTATACACCTGGACCGCTTACTCAGAATGAGTTTTATCAATTTTTTGAAGATGGTTTTGTTATTAAACATAATTTATTACAACGAGATCAATTAGAACCAGTAATTCAAAGTATAGAACGCGTAGTCGATGAATTAGCACAAGAGCTTTACCAAGCGGTAACGATTTCTTTACTGAAGAGCCAAATATATATATATGTAAAATGATTCTTTCATATGTAAGGGTAAAATTCAAGATCTACATGAAAATGATGGTTTTTATCAACGTTTAACTGCAATTGATTCACAGTTTCCAGGTGCTGCTGTTATTCTGCATAAACGTGGTGTTTTGCCACCAGAAATTGCATCATTATGGTCGAGCAAGACATTACTTAGTGTTGCTAAACAATTACTCGGACCTGATGTTGCTGGACATCCGGTTTGGAATTTAAGAACAAAAGTAGAGAAAAATAGTCATTAAAAATACTATTCACAGTTTTTTAGGTACCCAATCAAGAACAAGTCACTGTTCCTTGGCACCAAGATACTGCTTGTAACATTTTCTATTTAGCATTCATGATTTCCATGATTTTATTTAGATTTAAATAAAGAATGTTGGAATGTTCTTCAAGTAACAGCATGGATTCCATTATTAGATGCAAATAAAGAAAATGGTTTTGTTTATATAACTTCGTTGAATTTAACATAATGATCACATGCATTTTGTTTTTCAAAGGATGTATGCAGTTGTTACCTGGTGGTCATCGTTCAGGTCGTACTTGTAAACATAATTGTTGTGCTGGTAATACATGGTATGTTGAAGTACCGGTTGAAGAAATGGCAGCAACATTGAAAACTCCAGTCACTGAAAAAACAGTATTTACATGCGAAGTACCATTCGGTTCGGTTTTATTTTTGAACAATTTAATTCCACATAAATCAATGGAAAACTATAGTGGAAATATACGATGGAGTTTAGATTTAAGATGGTAATTATCGACTTCTCATGAACAATAATTGAGTCTTTTGATTTTCATTTAATAGGCAAAAACCAAATGAACCGAATGGATTTTATGGTTTAAAAGATAACATACTAATGGCTAAAGGTGACGATGAAAATTTTAAGCCGGATTGGGAAGAATGGTCAAAGATTAATAGAACAAAATTACAAGAAGCTGTTGTTCAAGAATCTATTAAAAATGAAATACCAGAATTAAAAGAACGACAAAATGATGATCCATTTGACACAACAATATCAGGACCATGGATGCATAATTGGCCAATTGTACATCATAATAAGCATACAGCAAACTTAACAAAAAATACTACTAGTTGGCATAAATCATAAAGAAAGATCTTTATTTTCTTAAAAATGATACATTGCTTTTTTTTTTCTTTATAAACAATTCTAAATAAAACGATATTTGAAGAGTTCACCAAACTTGACGCCTGCACGGAAATACTTATGCATCATTATCTTTTCATTCAGTTTTTCATTGTACATGTGTGCAAGAGTTTCTTGTTGTCGTTATCATAGTCGAGAGTAAGTCAACCATGACTGTAAATCGCGTATTCCATTTTATCGTGTTAAAGTTAAAGATACAAACTATGAATGTGTATATACTATTGCTATTTTCAGTCATAAACGCAATTTACTACCGAATGAAGTACGACTTTTTGGATCGAATTTACAATAAGAGTTTGTTTTGCTCAAACCAATTCTGTTCGTGAAATACATAAAGATCTTATGTAAAGATGATGTTCTACATATCCGTTGTAGTAGGATCAATTCGTTAGTTTAGCTAACAGATTCGAAAATCCTGTCGACTAAATTCTCGTTGGAAATTTTTTAAATAAAACAGGAACAACTTATCATTTATTCCAAGAGAAAAAAAGTAATAAAAAATTGAATAATCAAGTTTCGAAATAAGGCTCTACAAGTGCTTTCTTAATCGCAAGGGTACAAATACATCATTACTAGTGGTACATGATGAAGATCATTGAAAGGTACTATACAAAGCAGGTCATCTTGTAGAGCTTGATATCCAATCAAGTCATTATACAAATGAAAAACATGAAACGGAAGATGAAAAACTTCTCACTTTTTGTTATTCTGGAGATTTCTTAGGTCAATTATAATTTCTTTCAGAATGTCAATTTAAATGAAATTTTTCATATTACATTTAGGAACTGGTTTTAATGTAAATCAACATTATTTTTCATTTACAATAAATGCTTGTTTTCCTATTTGTATTAGATATGGTTGTTTATCACAACAAATTATATTCGGAGCATCATTTTCAATGGGATATCAAGAAGATTTAGATAATTTACTTTTTACATCACCTGTCGCATTCGGTTTGTCGATCAATGAAGATTTTCAACAACAAGAAAAAGACAAACAATGTTAGTTATGAAATTATGAAATAGGGCCTAATTTAAACATTGAAAATAAGAATTATGTCAGTAAATATCTATTTATTATTAATGAAAAAAAAAATAAAATCGATAAATACAGCAAAGCATCAAATTATCTAATTCGTTATTATTATGATGAACGGTTGAATAAAGTTATCATTGAACAAAAAATCACTGGAGTCAACAGTTAATCGTTGAAAACGTGGTCAACAATTTGTAAAATATTTACTATTGATGATGCCTTCACATTCTTAAATGATATTAAAAAGACATGGTGTCCCATATTTCGTTCTCTAATTGATAGAAATATTAAAATTGTAACACATTATATAGTATATGTTAATTTTCATACATTAGAATTTCTTGTTTATGAACGTATTCTGACAGATAATAATTGAACAATATTTATGCATGATTTCGAAATTCTATTTATTTACGAAAAAAGGAAATCAATTTTATACATTTTTTTATTAGATCTTCTCTGTAGAAATCAGAGAAATAAATAGTAATCAAGTTCAATAGTATTTTTTTTGATGAAAATACTTTGATTTTCCCACTATGCTCAATGACAAATAGAATCCATGCATGTAGTTGTTTTCTTTTTATCTATTCTCTTTTTCCGTCTTAATTAAATTTACTAATCAATATAATACAGTAAAGCTTTATTCTTTTTTCAACAACAATATGTGAAACGACTAGACTTGTGACAGTCTCCGATCAAAGAACTAATACTGCGCCTAGTCCTCGAAAAAAGAAAAGGGCATCAGATCCAGTTCTCATAAAAGAACCAATTCATGGATTTGTGAACTGTCACAGGTCTTGAAAAGACACAACAAAGCCAAACAGTTCGTTTACTTTTACTCGCTGTGGTTTTTTTCGTAGAATTCAATATACCTACAGATTTATTTTTTATTTGGTTCGATTACTGTAGCAATCATTTTAAATTATGTATTTAAATAACAGTATTTTACTAGTAGAAAAAAGTTATTTAGCATGACTTTGCACGCAGCTCAAATATTGCATTGATCACCTATATTACAGAACAATTAAATAATTTTCTATGAAAATATTATTTGAATGGCGATGTATACTTTCTTCATAATCTTTTAGCTTTTTATTTCTTTGATAGAATGTAAACTTAATTAATGAAGGTGCCTTCTTTCCTGTCGACGATATAAATATAGTAACTTTTGTCGTTTGATGAATTGGAATAGTGATTTACTGCCTCATTTGTTCGTATCATGCATCACAACAGACCACTATTTCTATGGTTTACCTTTTAATATTGAGTCTAATTTTTGTTTATGTTGTGGTAACCATGAACTCTATTACATATGTCAAAATGTGCACACTACTCCTAAGCCAAACTTGTACCAAACTTTTCGTCATTGACTATATCGTTTTACGAATTTCTCAGTAATCTTGCTCTGTTAATATATTTTTTTGTTCATTCTCAGAATAGAAAATTATCAATAAATATATTGAAGAAGTTGTAAGAACACAAATTACTTGAAATAATATGATGAAATGCGATTTGTGAAAAACTGATTTTTCGAAACCCTTGAATTATAGTGAAACATAACTAAGATCCTGTGATTCTCATCTCCTAAAAAAAAAAACGAGTCAATACTTATATCCATTTCAAATTAAAAAGGAGGTGAGTATTTTTGGAATAATTTATTAATAAAAACGAAATAAAAATCTTCGACTTTTACCATTTAAAAGAGGACATGAAACTGTATTGAATCTTGAAAACCAGATTGTTCTGACAGGTTTTCTCAGAGTCACTCGTCAAGTTTCTCAAACACAAAATATTGTGCAATTTAAAAGTTTTGAAATATTAAATTTTACTAGTGCACTAGAATTCTTGACTAAAGATCAGTAATCTATACAAGTTCGATGTTAAAAGGTTAAGCCAATCACGAGTTATTAACATTTTACTGCATGTTTTCGGCAGATTTGTCGTAAAAAATTGACTTTTTCTCTGATTTTCTTTGATGAAAAAACTATCTTCTTAGTCTACTAAGAAGCCTTATTTTTTTAAAAGACTTGACGGGTGACTCTGAGAAAACTTCTCAGAAAAATCTGATATTCAAGTTTCATTGCAGTTTCATTGTCTCTATAAAACGGTGAAAACCGCAGACTTCTATCTCGTTGTTACCAACAATTATTCCAAAAATGCTCATTCGTCATTTATTTTGAAATGAATATTAGTGCACACTGCCGTTTATTCGTAGAATTCTACATATAGTGCTCTTGAAATATTGCTTCCTTTAATTTATCCTTTAGTTTAATTAAAGTTTTGTAATATGTAAAGATCAACAACTACTCAAGACGGAAATTATGACGCACCAACATCGGGCAGGACACTTTACCGATAATGACAAACTTCAGAAAAAAATGCAGAGAAATGAATCATTTGCTAGTTGATTGATTTAATTTTTCAGATTAAATATAATCCATTGAATTAATATTACTTTCTCATGATTTCATAATTAATATGTGCAAATCTTTGATTTTTTTAATACAAAGAACTACTTGGGAGACATGATTTATCAATTTCAATATGTATTTATGAGGAATAACTCCCATGAATATCTTTATGCATAGAGTAGAATAGATTCGCTTTGTAATATAAATAGTTTTCATTATTAAATTATTATTATTATCAAGATTAAACCATATGGAGAAACATCCTAATAATTGATTATATCAGGATAAAATAGTATCGCTTGTGTAACTAGAAAGAGAATAATCATTTACACTTGTGGAATGGCTAAAGTTGCATTATCTGTCAACTATCTTTTGATAGCTTTTGCGTCTTTCATATATACTTGATGAAAAAGCTTAAAGAGATAAGAAAATATTGAGTTCTAATTAAGGAAAAGATTGTGCACGAAGTAGACAGTGAGTATGGGTTATGAAAAGACAATAAGATATTAAAGCGAGAGAAAAAGACAAAAGATATTGAAAATTACTTATAGAGATGTGTCTTTATTACAGCAAATCTTTGATAAAACAAGATTTTATTTTGCATGATAAAACGAATACAAAAATATTTTCTTCGTCAGTTTTCATTAGATTAAAGACTGGTATACAATATTACTTTTATTTAAAGAAAGAAAATTTCTGTCAGATTAATTGAAGCAACATTATTGAAATAAACAGATGGAATATTATGTAAACATGAATGAATTAATTATGCGCAGAAACAATACAACATGATTCATCGAGTGTTTGCTTTCTTGCATTTCTGTCTTATGTATCTATTTTTTTCTAACAAAGATAAATAAATAATCTGGATTGATATTATACTTTTATGACAAAAAAAAAGGTTGATCAAGAATCAACAAGGAGAAATATTGGATTCATTGTTGTAAATGTACTTCTAACTTAGTTTGAATACGAAACAAAAGTGTATTATTAGAGAAATACTACGTAAATATGTTTGCTGAAATAAAGCTCAGTTCAGAAGTTTATAAAAATTCATTGAGTGAAAAATTATAAGAACAACTGCATGCTAAAAGCAAACAAAAGTTATAGTTATGTCTTTTTCTCTGGGACACCAAGTTGTTGTCCTTGTGGAAGGTTTGCTGCTGTCAATGATGCTGGATTTGTGTCTATTCCAACAGACCGATAACCAGCAGTATTTGAAGTCGGTGATGTAGCTCCTGGATCTTGTGTGGCTCTCCAACTTGAAGAAGAGGATGCAGGACCGGCGAATGTTGGACGCATTTTTACTCTGATAATATTAGTACAGTATTGATGTTTAGAATACGAGAAATATTTATTAAAAACAAGCTATACACGTCTAATATAGATCTGCTGCCATATATATAATTAATACAGTAACCAACGTAAATAGAACAGAAAAAGGATAGCAACTGTTACAAAAATATGAATTACGTATTTTTATTTATGACAGAAATATCTTTTCTTTTTCACTGACAATTTATTGCCAGATATAAACTTCAACAATAAATAAAGCACAACTACTCTCATTATTAACCATTAAAATCAAAACAAATTTATCAAAATATAACCAACTAGATGCATTTGATAATTTACTTCGTGTTAAAAAAATATTTTCGATCTATATATCATTTATTAATAATGAAAAAGGAATTAAAAGTTAAAAGAACCAAAATATACGGCAGCAAATGTAGAAGAAATCTTGTTGTAAAAGTGACTGTCATCAATTTAGTTTCATTTCATTCAAAGTCAGAACGATCATCAATAAAAACGAACATACACATATGTAATTATGATTATTTTTGAATACTGAGCTCAAGCAACGTAATAAAATTTTGAACTTGTTTATTGAACTATTACTGTATTGCTGTTCTTTAAATGGCAATAGATGATTTTTCTCAATAGTAATGGTCTCAGTAAAATAGCCATAGTTGAGGTATGTTCAGATTTCTGAAAAAAGAAATTACAGAAATTTCCGAAGCTTCCATCAACTCGATAACTACATAGCAAAGCAAATGAAAATTTTTTGGAAATATTGGAAAGTTTAGAAATTTTAGAATTTTCTGTAATTTCGAAAATTTCGCTAAGTACAGAATTTTGGAAATTTCAGAACTTTCGGAAATTATATAATTTTGGGAAGTATCAAAAAATTTAGAACACAAGTACTTGAAATTTCCCAAACTTCCAAAATTTCCTTTTTCGAAAATCTGAACACTGCTGATTATGTATTCTTTTATTCATAAAAAAATGCAATATGTGCTTTAACAAATTATAAAAATACGATTCACTAATACTTTATAATTGATTTCATTAATAAAAAACTTCAAAATAGATATTTTATGACCTAGAAAATAAAATAGCTTTTGCCAATAACTATTGTTTTCATTTCAACAGCAAATCAATTGACGAATATCTATCTCGATGATGAAACTGTTTTCTAATATATTCTTTCTTATATCATTGAAAATTTCTACAATAGATAAACATCTAACCATTGTTTTTGATTATTTGTATCATGTCAAACATAAACGAAATGGAAGAAAGATACAATGAACTCGTATTAACATAAATAGAAGAGCAAATAGTGATAGTGACATACATCTATCATATTTAAGCACGTAATTATTAAAAACATCTGATCTTTGGTAAAATAAATGACTCTTTTAATAGATAAAAGTCTCACAAAATACAGTATAAGAAAATTCAATAAAACGTATTATCCATCTGTTGCCAAAAATGTGGCTTCAGCTTCTGCCAAAACTTGATCAGGTTGTGCTAGTGATAACTAAATAAAAAGAATTTTTTTTCATATCGATAAAAAAAAAGAGAAGAAAGCAAGAATTTACATCTGGAATAGGATAAGGTGTCGGTAAAATAGCTTGATCTCGTCCAAAATCTTTCATTTCACCTGCTTTACAAATATCATCAACCCATAAACCTTCCATAAGCTGTCCTCGAGTAACATAGAAAAATTTTCCATGACCATGTTTCTTATTGTCACGCCATTCACCTTCATAACGATTATCATTTGCTAGAAGAAGAAAAAACCAAATAACATAATCACATCTATAAATAAAAATTAAATAAATTTTATCTCACCTAATCGTAACATGCCCGTTCCATGTCGTTTATCATCAAGCCATTGTCCTTCGTAGGTTGATCCATCAGCATAGAACATTCGTCCCCATCCATTTCGTTTATCAGCATAAAATTCTCCTTCATAATATTCATTATCCGAAAAAAATAAATTTCCATATCCCTATAATATATTATGATGTTTCAATATTTTTCTTTCTATATTCTTACATGTCGCATATTATTTTTCCAACCACCTGCATATTGTCTTTGAAATTTACCATCAGATGTTTTTACAGTTAATGTACCAAAACCATTTCGTGCATCATTAGCAAAATCACCTTCATAAAAATCTCCTGTCGATTTCCATATGTAAATACCTTTACCTATTCTATGCGAAATAAAAAACTAGATTCTTATTTTATTAAGTTTGTTCTAACCATGTTTTTTATCATTTTTCCATTCTCCTTTATATTGTGAACCATCAGATGAATAGATTGTAGAATGAAAACCTTGTTTACGTGCTTTACGATCCCAAGATTTCCATAATTGTTCAGGAGGTGGACCTTGTCTATTTCTTAATGATGACATTTTATAGCAACAACAAAAAAAAAAGAAATACTAACAAAAAAATATGAAAGTTAAAATGAAAAGAAAACAGAAGACATTTTTTAATGCGTTGTCGAGACGATGACGCTTTCTGTTCATATTTTTCTTGTTACTATGACCTCTATCGAAACATATACATCATTATTTAATGTAATAAAACATAATATAAAGATGATCTTTTTTCTATATTAATATGAAGCTGATATGTCAAAAAATAATTTTATTTCAATCAAATTAATATTTTATAATCAATTAAGAAAATCAAGAAAAAAAAAGATTTCATATGATTCTCTAACAGATACACGAGAATTGAAAAGAAAAAAATTAAATTTTTAATTTTTCTAAATCAGGTAAATCAATATCATTTTGTTGTTGCATTTTCTTTTTATATTCTTGACTTAAATGTTTCATTAATTGTGGTGTTGATAAATGAGGTTGAGCTTGTTTCATTGTTCGAAAATGTTCTTTTATAAATAAATTATATCGATTTAATATTTTCTTTGGTGTTTGAACTTCATTTGTTTGATTGTTATTTAATAATAATTGAAATTTTCCCATACACTTTCCACAAAAATCAATTTCAACATTGAGTGATTTTGAATGACGATAAACTCTTTAAAATAAATCAATATTCAAATAATAATGGATTCTATCGAATTTGATGACTTATCCTAAACGAGGAAGTCATATATGTGGTTATGTAGAATCAATTCTATGAAAAATTTGATGTATGAAAGATTGATACATCAGTTATAAAGCTTGAGACATATTGTAGTTTACTCATAGACATTATGTTCCTTAAGATAAATTAATGCGAATTTTGCTTCTAAACTATAGTCAATATTTTTTATCATTTCTTTCTTCATATTTCAAAATAGTCTCTTTTCTTAGGTGTATATTATCTCTTGACTATATGATATTTTAGTGTGTTCAGCTGTATGCCATGAAACAAGTGAGTACCAACGTAAAATTTTCTCAAAAATTGCACACTATCGAGCTCTATATGTTTCACATAATATGAAACATATAGAGCTCGATAGTGTGCAGTTTTTGAAAAACTTTTACGTTGGTATTCACTTGTTTTATGGCACACATCCGAATACACTAAAATATCATATAGTCACTTATCTTAAGGAATATAATGTCTATGAGTACACTACAATGTGACTCAAGCTTTATAATCGATATATCGACCATCATCAGCACATCAAAATTTTCATAAAACTTGATTTCTTATGAACTAATCAATGTACTGTAATTTACTCTACATAACTATACATATGGCATCCTTGTTTAAGATAGGCCATAAATTCATCGAATTTCTTTACTCGTATTGACATTGAATGCATCTATAAACAAATTTATAAGTAATATCATAAGTATGTTTAACTGAAATTGCTGGTAAATAAGGATAACATCGTTCAGCACAACGTGTCCATTTACGCCATAATGGTCCATGACCTTCATCCATAACACCATCAATTAATGATACAGCTGCATGACACATTTCATGTAAAAGTGTATCACGACAACGTTCTAATATTAATCAGATTAGTTTTGTTTTAAGAAAATTTTTTTACGAACCAGGTGAATTACAAACTTTGTTTGAAAGTGTAATTATAGCTGTTTGTGTAGAACGTCGAGTAGTACAATGACCAGCTGTTGATGTTAAACGACCACTCCAAACGATTGTTACTTTGTCCGAAAGCTAAGAAATAATTTAAGTTAAAATATACACAAAGAAAAACAAATGATTTACTTTAGAAGAAAAAATATCTTGATCAAATATTACAAAAAGTTTTTGTGCTAATTCTTCTCGTTTTCTTTTAATTTTAAATCCCGATCGAGTAAAATATCTGTTATAAAGACAAATAAATATTAATTAGAAAATATTAAAAATAAAATATTTACTGTTTAGCATCAACATGTTTATCTTCTATTGGTACGTATTTTGAAAGTGATTCAAGAAAATTTACAGATATTTGTCGATCTTTTTTCTTTGTTGTCAATTGACTATCATTTTCTGATGAAGATGAAGATGATTGACTAGAGTCATCAGATGTATGATCATCATCAATTCTAATATAGAATATATAATTTCAAATAATCAAGGTTTTAAAATAAATCTTACTTTCTCCATGATAAATCATGATCAATTAATCGATTTACTTTTGGATAGAATTCTAATGGATGTTCTTCATCAGATGAAGATGATGAATCACAAATAAAATCTTTTAAACTAAAATTTCAATAGTAAACATAGTCAAAATTAAGTAATATGTGCTTAATCAGTACCTATTTCTATTCTTTCTTCTTTGTTTTATCGGTGATTTCTCTTCAGATTTAACTGGTTTTGGCGTTCGATATTCTTGTAAAACTATGAGATAAAATAAAAAATTTTCAACATTTTTAATCTAAATTCTATAGTGAAACGTTGACAAAAATAATAAGAATGCACGAATAACTGATTTTTCCTATGAAAACTAGAATATTTGTGATACTCTCTGGAAAATGTTTTTAAGTATCAAATTGCTTTTGAGTTAGGACAATGTACATGATATAGGTTCTAATGAGCTATGAATAGCTTGAAAACAATTCAAGCATCGTAGTTTATTACGACTAAGATACTATATTTAATATCACAATGCCGTGACTCGCTTCAGAAACACCGTGAATATTGAGTTTCGAATTTTGACTTGAAACTTTGCGTGGAGACAGGCTTTAATGAGAATAGTTTATTATAAAATTTTTCGATATTTCGATTGTTTCTATTTTAAAATATGGTTATGATGAAGAGCATGTTTGTCACGCTTTTCATATCCCAACACGAAATTCCGACGTTTTTATTTCATAATAGATGCAATCAATAAAATATAAATATTCACAACACGCTATTCTCATCAAGACCGATCTCTATGCAAAGTTTCAAGTCAAAATAGGAAATTTAGTTGTTTTTTTATGTTCATGAGGGAGACCTGGATATTCTGCTAAAAAGTACGATGAAAATACAGTATCTCGGTAGTAATAAGCTATTAGTGTGAACTCTTTTCAAAATCTTCATAAGTTCATTCGAATCTACACGATGTCCATAGTCCCAATTGAAAAGTAATCTGACATTTAGAAACGTTTTCTCGTCAGATCGAATGTGATATCGATATTGGATAAGTCACATAATCAAATCAGTTCAAACTCTATCTCTTTTATATATAAACCAAATAAAGTTCACTCTGTACATATCTACATTAGATAAAAGAATCATAACTAATTCAAGTCTACTTGAAGATCGTGCATCTCATTATTATTCTCGCCCCTTTATCCATTCAACTTTTAAGATTCTGTTTAAATGATGAAAATTATATTCAAAAATTACATTTTTCAAATGCTTGATCATCATCACTACTATGGTTTGTTCGTCGATTTTTCAAAGAATCTCTACATAAAGAAAAAGAAAAAGAATAAGGTATATTATTGAATTGTAACACATGCACAAGACATATATAAAGAGGAAAAAAGAAGAATAACAAGAATAAGAAGGAAGTCAATATTCAAGACACTGATCAACTGGTCGTAAATCGAATGTATTATGCCATGTATGAACACGTTTCATAACTACTGGTTTAACAGGACGTTGATAAGGAATATGATCATTATCATAATATTGTTGATCTTCTGATCGTTTTATTTCTTGTATAAGTTCATTAGAATCTTGACATTGAAATTTAGGTGCATTATTTGTTAATGGTGGTGAATGTCTTCGATGATGAAGACGTGCTTTTATATTTCCTACACGATATTTATGCTGTTCAGATGATGGACGATGAAATAGAGATGCAAGTTTTGGTAAAATTGGTTTTGAAGGAGATTTATTCACCGGTATATATACTTCATTATTTAATGGCAAAATTTTTTGTTTAATAATTTTTGAACGTGAAAAATCATTATTATTTAAATTACGATTATCTAAATTTAATGTATCTGTTAAATTTGATTTATCAGAATTTTTTGTTGATAAATTTTGATGATGATTATGATGAAAATAATTAAATAATGAACCAAATGAACGATGTTTTTTAACGATATCATTTGTTGGTGACAATGATAATTCTGAAAAATCATCATTAGCAGATAATTTTTTATCTATTAAACCATTTGTATGTGTTGTTGTTTCTGAACGTTTAAGAAAACGATGTTTATTTATTGATGAATCAATAAAATCATTTTTACGTGATTTTGTTAAAGACATTTGATTTTCATTAACTGAAATTTGTTTAACCATAACATGATGATAATTATTATTATTATTATTATTATTGTTATTATTATTATTTGAATGTCGAAAACGACTAAGAATTGATGAAGACCGATTAGAAGATGAGGATGATATTTGAGGTTGATTATGGTGTTCATCTTCAAGATAAAAAACAGCTGGTGTAGAATTAGATTCTTGTTCAATTATTTCATTATCATCTTCAGTTTCATCTTCTTCAGGTACGACATCTGGTGTTGTTGAATATTTAAAATCAGAAAAAACATTATAAAATGTATATGGAGCGCTATTTGGTGAACATGGAGATGTTGGAGATGATGGTGAACAACTATTTGTTGATGTTAAATCATTCGATGATGAACGAGTTTTTATTGGATTTGAACTATCACGATAAAAATCATCGAATGTATGAAGTTTTCCATGATAAGAATGAACAATATGTTTTAACATTTTCTTTTTTCAACTAAGAATCCATTTTTATCCAAATCAACTGGATAAATGCTGTTATCCGTCGACGACGACGGTGTGAGCAAAAATAAATATGATCACGATATGCTTGTACGGACGAAGCAAGTTCACATACTGTCTCGATATATTTATAACAACGACCAACGGAGAAGAACAGAGAGAAAAAATGACGAAGAAAAAAGAAAAGGGGAAATAAAATCATGTGAATATACAGACAGGGCATAGAAAAGGTAATTTCCATCGAGAAAAGCAAGTATACAAGCGAAATCATATCCGATTGATAGACCCACAGAGAAAGAGAGAGAGAGAGAGAGAGAGATAGAGAGAACGCAAAAATTATTTAGGAAAGAAAAATAAAAAAATATGTCAATAGATACAAGTTACCTTTTCGATTGATATTGTTGATTATTCAAAAGTATCTTCCTTTTTGATTCACCTTGGAAAATATTTACCCACGGTATCTCTGAATAATAGTAATTATAATTATATTCTAGTTTGTTATAAATATTATTGCTTTTACCTTTTATGTCATGTGATTCTTGCTGATCATTATCATTAAATATTTTTGTTGGTGTTTTAACATTTGTTTCTATTTGATCCTACAAAGTTCAATCAGTATTCATATGAAACTTAGTACATTTATCGAGACAATGTTATCAATCATAAATACATTTGACTATTAATACTATAGATAGTAATTAAAATGAATGGATACTTTTATTCTTTATTTTTCACCGTAAACTTTTTGAAAGAAAATTACGAAATTTTAGAAAATTTAAAAAACACTTACTGTTTGTTGTTGTTCATTATCTTGTGTAAATAATAAAAACCAAGGATTAAAATTTATAGAATTTTCGTTTAATGGATCATTAATTGTTGTTAATGTTTCTTTTGTAACTGTTTGGTTTTGATCTAATGGTAATGAATCATGTTTAATAAATGAAATTTCTGAACTTGTAGAAAAATTATGTTTAGCTTTATCAAATAATAATGAATAAGAGTCAAATGTTTCATTTGTATTTTCTGTAAATGATGATTCAAAAGAATCATTTGATGACGTTAACAACAATTCACTCATATTTCGAATATTTTAAACAACTAGTTCGTTATGATTGTCAATATATATGTATGTTCATTCGTGTTTTTCCAATAATGTCTTTATTAAATAGTTGAACTATCCACATCGATTTCCACTAGATATCGCTACATGTATGAAATGATCATTATCTAAAAGGTCATTTTCACACAAAACGTCTCGTACACCCTTGAATTTTACAGTATATCTTTCGTAGATATCTTCATTATATATCTATCATTATATATGTTATGTATATCAATATGAAATTATATTTCTATTAGCAATCAATGTTTCACTTATATACAAGTAAATTTCAACATTAACATTTTTGAAGGATTTTTTAAAAACTTTTATTACATTAAAAAAAAAGATCGTATATATAGATATATATATTTTTTATGATTGTTCTCGAAATAAAATTTTCATTCACATTCAATATTTTGGTCTAAAATGATATTGTTTAAGAGAAAGAAAAGAAATGAAAAATTTTACATAAAAATTTTTTTTCCTCATAATAATAATAATTTCCGGAACATGTTTTTGACCGGACGCAAATTGAAAACGAAATTTTTTTTGTTTATCATTACTAAGATAATTTTTGCTTCTAGCATAATAAAATTTTTTCCAATACGTGAACATGGTTCAGTTGAAAATAGTAAAAAATGTATCGAAATAAGATTTCTCAAATCTTGATAGATCGAACTTGAATGATTCTTTCGAATATTTGTCTGAACTACAAAATATTCATATAGAAAAACATGAGAAAATAAATATAAATATCTACTTATTGATAAAGAATAAAATTATTTATCATAATATCAGTATCTCGTTTTAACATGATCTGTTTTTCATCACTAGCTAATAATGTATTATCTTCAATAGCTTTTTGAACAATGTACCGTACAGATTGATGAAATATCAAATTTTTTTTTTAAACAAATTCTGTATAAGTAAGAATTATGATCAGCAATAAGGAATTTTCATAAAGGACACCCAGATAAAGAGAAAAGAGTCTGTAAAAATTGAACTAATCTGGATCGGAGAGAGAAAAAAGACTAGATATTTATGGATGCTCAGACACTTATTAGGAATATGTTACTTTTTATTCACAGAAATATCTGCGAAATTTTCAAGTTCAATTTGTTTTGAAAAGCATTTTAAAGTAGAATAAATGGGTTGAATATGAGTATGGTGTTCAAATAATTCAAGATTATGTTACACGAGCGGATAGTTAGCTTTTGAAAAATTAATATAAATCTTGTTAGATTTTCCGAATGCTATTGATATTGAACTTCAGGTGTATGGAACAGCTGCCGAAAAGACAAAATATCGAAAGTTTCAACTGATAAGATATTCTTTATTTTTCCGTATAAGGCGTGCATATTTTAATCTTCTCTTCATCTATATCAAGTAAATCAAGTCCGGCGTATAAAGAAAAGATCATTAATATTAAGCATTCTTTTTTTCAACATCTTCTATGATGTTGTTATGACATTTTGATAAATAAATTCTCGAAAATTTTCACTTTTTATTAAACCAATTCCAAATACACATTCAGTTACAATATCTAATGTTAAACGTGTCATTTCATTGTGAATATTAAGAGTCAAATCTTTTCCTAGATGATTGACATCACTAAGAGCTAATTTCCATTAATGAAGAATATTCGATGTTATTCCAATCATCAGTGAAATCATTGAATTTATATTTTGATCTTGAAAAATAGGTGCAATAAGATGTCAATGTTGACTATGATTATTATCTTCAGCCATTAAGAGATTATCATAACCTAACAATCTTCCCAGAATTAATCGCATCAAATTATATTTGGTATAAAAAATGAGAATTAATTTTCAATACTCCTTGAATAAATTAAAGATCATTGACAATAAAAAAAAGCTACGGAACCTAATGATGCATGATAATAACTGTCATATCTATTAGCCATGTTAAGAACAAGAGAGAAAGGATGTTCAGCTAGAGTCGCATGACGTAGACTAAGGATTTCGCCTACAATAGTTGTATATTGTCCTGGAATACCTTGTGCCATAAATCTTTGTGAATATGCCATGGTTCTAATATCCCATATTTAAATAAATGATAAGAAATACATAATAGTATACTAATTACAAAAACAGTTGACCGCATGTTCTTTACTCAGGTAAAAAACACACGATCAATCAATAAAAGATACGCGTATCTTTTGTCTGCTTAAATAAAACCGAATGAAAGTATAAGTCAATATTTGACTTAGGTGAAAAATGAGAAGAAAAGTTCGTTTGGTTTTTTTTCTTCGCTGCATATGATACTATGATAAGACTTTCATCATATAAAATCGTGATTATTAATGATACAGTACTTAAATTTGATTATTGAAAAAGGTTTGTTTTTAAAAACATATAAGAGTTAATTTAATGAAATCATATCCATTAATTCATCAGAATTATATTTGTTTTTTTCTTTTTTATATTATGAAGCCTATCATTCAAAAGGTTATTTTTCTAATCATTATGAAGATGTTCAGCATACATAAGGAATTGTATACCAGAGTTGTAACCAATCCGATGGGTCTGAATCGAACCAGTTGGAAACTATTTGATACGTATTCTATTTTTTTCTAATAAAACTTGTTGCTAGCAAGTTTATTTGCTCCTTTTGAAAATGATCAGACAATATTCTTTTAAGAAGAATCAATTTTATTTTCTTCTGTTCAGCCATACTGTTTTATTTCTTTAATCGAAGTTTGCTTGAGTTTTTTAAAAAGCACAACCAAAATCGTTTTATTTCAGCGAAACTTCTGTGATATATGTTTTGGTAAATATCAAAAAAAAAAGGTTTTGAATCGTTATTTGAAAAGAAAAGTTGACTTTTTCTGAAAAGGCTGAATGAGAAAATTCAAGTTAAGTAATCAGTTGATAGGTAAATGACTCGTTTTTTTCATACTATATCTAGTAACAGATATAAAGGACAACATGACATGATATTTGTTCCTGAACATTTGTAAAAACTTGAGTGCAAAAAGAAAGATTAATATTTGAGAAAGGCATTACTATTAATAGATAACTAAATCATCAAACTCGCTAGTTTGCATTGGTTTAAAGGATTTCTTGAACCGACCGAGTTCAATCAGTTCAAAAATTCTTGATCGGTCACAACTCTGTTGTATACCTTTATAAAATCTATATACCGATAATAAATATTTCTTAAAATACCATTTTCTTCTGACAAATTAATAACAGCCTAAAGTTTGAAGTTAGTGATAGAACTCTCAAATGAATTTTCTTTCTCTATTTCGATTCAGTAGTAGTATTATTTATCGAGACAATATCAACTGCTGTTTTCGCTTGAACTGTTCTCAGAAATTTATCGAAATTAAAATTATTAAATTGATTTTGATCAAGTTTTTAAAAAAGAATATACTCTTTATCAGCAATACAAATTTCTATATCAGATAATTGAGGTATCTATTTAGAAAGTTGACCTTAGGAAACGATTGTTAATTTTTGATATTTCGAAATACATTGGAAAAAAATGTTTGCTCAATTGATCAAGTACAATAGTTGTTTCTTATCAGTCTTATTTATACTTTGAGCATTTTTTTTTGATCCAAGCTATATAATGAAATGAGCTTTTTTTAAACATTTTGTGCAATTTTTTTTCTCAAATATCATCAATTCTTTCATTATATCTTAAACCAACACATACTACATTAAAATAAGACTTTTTTTGATTCTATTAATTCAAAGTTTGTTCACAAATAGATTAATTAGCAAGCCACAATCATGTTCACATCTAATACAGCTGTTAGATACTATTTGTTAGGTTGAAGACACGATAAAAAAAAAAGGAGAATCACAATAATGATATGGTTATAGATTGCTTGACGAAGAGCTTGATCATGTCATAATTAACAGATAGAATAAGAAAGCTAAAACAGAGATGAAGACGAATCATATAAAGTGGCAAAAGTAAAGGTTTTCTTTACAATAAACACAACTATGACAAAACAAAAATAGAGAATTGAGGGCAAAAATCAGTAAGATAAAGCTTTATAGCTAATATAATCAAACAAGTGAGAGAAATAACTAGTTTTATGTTTATTTTATCGTCTTTTTGTGACTTCTTTAATATTGCCTAATGTTTTCCTTTCCACTCATTTTTAGGCATGTTTGTTGAAAGAAAAATACTATCAAAGAACTATGTTATATGATTTTAGCTGCTGCCCAAACGTAGAATAGTTAAAGTCGTGTGTATTTAATCAAGTATTTCACATGTTAATTCAATATATATACATATGTATGTGAAGATGAATGTGTAAAGTCTTCTTGATATTTCCAGTTGTCGAGTAATTGTATGCTAAAATTTAATTCACAATCAGCATCAAAAGATATTCAAACACTTTTCTTGATAATTTATTTTATTGAACACTCTAATTGAACAATAATGTTGCATTTATAGAGAAGAAAATTAATTGCATTTTTTTCTGCAAAAATGAAATAGCAACAATCTTTTCCAAGGCAACTTTATAGTAACCTATTCTTCATTTAAACGTCTCATGTGAAAAATGTCATAACAAGTTCATACAAGATTTTACAAAACTTCGAATGAATATAGAGTAAAGATTTCTTTTTAGTTGAGTCTATGTATATTCTATATATTATAAATAGGTAAATCTGTCATAGAAAAATTTCATTTATTTCTTATTTTACACACAAAAGCAAACTGAAGCATACGAGGTTTTCAGTTATGGAAAAAAACCTTGAAAGAAAACTTAAGCTCAAAAGAAGTTTTTGAATTTAATTATTAAATTAAAGTTTAAGAGCGATGTCAGGTATTTTTGTCAACACGTTCAGCATAGGTTATCGTTATAAAAACAGTTATTAACAGTATGAACAAGCGAAGTTTCTAAGGTAGAGTCTATGATAAAGAACAAATGATGAGATAGTTCTCATTGAAAAGAAGAATTCAGAAAAACCCTATCCAAACATCATCATTTTCAA